CGCACCAAGGGATGCACCAAGCCACCGCATCAGAATTTGATAAGACCGAGCACACTGTGACTCAGGCCCTCTCCAAGCCAATATCGACCTTCCCTAAGAAAAAGGACAAAGTCACCATCATTATTTAAGTAGGATTCAACCTTTAGACTTTTAACTAAAGTAGTGATGTACTTTTGGTTATAGTAGAAGTAGACTTAGTCATTAACTCTTAGGGATTCTCATTATAAAAGAGACCTCCTCACGCCCATTGTGTTCATTTATTCTTTCTCTTATTTTCGTTTATATTCTCTTTGTGCTTACTTTCGTGACAATCTAATCAACCAAACTTAGGTTTCAAGGCTACTTTAGCGCCCAGTAACTGAGCAAAGTGACCAATGGTCGCACGACCTGCTAGCCAACAGTCTAGCCCCTGTCAATATGCATATTTACCCTTGTGTTATTTTATTGTAATAAATATATCTAAATATGTTAATGTTTGTTTATATATATATGTATACATAAAAATATTTACGTACCGTATTATGTAGATGTATGACATAGTTTTAATTAGTTTTGTATATATTACGTAATATATATTTACACCCATGCGTGTGCTATACCATATGAAATATGTGTTATGTGCGTGAATAAGAGACATAAATGCAGAGATAGAGAGGAAGAAGGAAGAAATTTATATAAAAAATTGAGAGAATATCCAGCAAAATTCATAACAGATTATTACAACTTTTTTTATTTATATGCGTATCCTTTAGAAAAGGAAAAAGTCGGTTAGATCCTTGGAAGTTTTTCTCTCTCTGCAGCTCCTACGCTCCTCTTGGATTTCCTGGTATACTGTTGCAGAGGTGCCAGCTCCCACATGATTCACTGGAACAGTTTTTTCTGGTTAGTCCATGACAACACCCTCTCCTGCAGAATTAACCTTGTCCTCATGGTTTTCACTGATGACATCCTTCGTAACCTCTTCTAGCTGTAAATTAGGGGTGAAAAGGTAAACTAAAACATAATTCAGTTCCTTGTAGGCGAGCTAATTCTATCCACAACTCAGTCAAGAAAAAGCGATCGTGATCACCAACTATACTGCATGGAATAACCCTTTGGAGCAAAATACGAGCCAAAAATGTAGCATCGAAGGTGACGAGTTAGACTGAAAAATCGGCCATTTTTACTGAGACGATCAACGACAACCAAGATAGTTTCCTTACCATCTGATTCGGGCATTTTGATAATGAAGTCGAACGTTATATCTTCAAAAACTTAATCAAGGGAAGGGGTTGAAGAAGCCCTACCGGAGCAAAACTATCACTCTTCATTCGTTGGCATATTTGGTATTTAATTATGAACCGACGAACATCCTTGGGCGTACCCGGCCATTAAAGTTTACCGCTAAATGGTGAAATGTTTGTGTAATTCCAGCATGATCCCCATTAAGGAACGATGGTCACCCTATGGTGATCTTCCGTTCCATAAAACTCAAAAAAAAAAAAAAATTCTTGCGCAGCTGCTAGCAATTCCTCCATTTCCTTGCTAGTAAACAAGGGAATCTCAATTTTAACCCATTTTGTGTTGAAGAATGATTCAACGTCATACAAATTTTAGTATTGACTGTTGTGGTTCATTATTTTTCTGATTTTATTGTTATTTATGTGCAGTAGTGGTTCCTTTTTTCTGTTAGTTTGTTGTGTTGTCAAGCCTATAAAAGGCCTATGTTTGTTCCATTCTAAGCATTGAATAAAAAAAAAAGTTTTGTCATCTAAAGTCCATTATTTCTTCTTTATTTTTCTACATTTATGGTATTAGAGCCAGGTTCGTTTGTAGCTGGGATTTGTAACAAATGGCGACTAACGTCAATGTCGTGAATGTATCTCAACTATCGATTCCAGTCTTCAACAGAGAAAGCTATGAGTTTTGGAGCATCAAGATGAAGACCTTGTTCAAGTCTCAAGATCTTTGGGACTAGGTTGAAAATGGTTGTACCGAACCAGATGAAGAGGGGAGATTGAAAGAAAATAAGAAGGACTCAAAGGCATTATTTTTTATTCAGTAAGCGATTCATGAGACTGTTTTTTTTTAAATTGTTACAGCGAAAGAAGCTTGGGGAATCTTGTAAACAACATTTTAAGGCTCCTCTAAGGTAATGAAGATAAAACTTCAATCACTTCGTCGGGATTTTGAAACCTTGCATATGAAAGTTGGAGAGCCGGTGCAGGATTTTTTATCCAGAGTTGCTGAAATTGTCAACAAAATGCGGTCTTATAGGGAAAATATTAATGATCAAACAATTGTTGCAAAAATTTTAAGGAGTCTCACTCCTAAGTTTGATCATGTAGTGGCTTCCATAGAATAATCCAAATACCTGGAAACATTCACATTTGATGAGTTGATGGGATCATTGCAGTCCCACGAGGCGAGGCTGAACAGAACGGAAGAGAAGACCGAGGACAAGGCTTTTCATGTGAAAGGGGAGGCATTTCCCAGATAAATGAACAAAAATGGCAAGGTCAAGTTGGATCTCGTGGACGAGGAGTTCGCGACAGAGGACGAGGCCGAAGCGATGGCTACCAAAGTCAAACACAACAATGAGATAACAAAAGGTTTATCCAATGCTTTTACTGTAAAAAATTTAGGCATGTGAAGGGAGGTTGCTGGAGAAGATCAAAGCTGGAACAAGCAAGTTATGTAGAGCAAGAAGATGATGAGATTAAATTGTTCATGGTGTATCAAGAAAATGAAGCAAGCCATAGGAACATTTAGTTTCTAGACAGTGGGTGCTCGAATCATGACTGTGTGAAGTCATTGTTCAATGAGATTGATGAAACCTTCAAACAAAAAGTAACACTTGGAGACAACAAGCAAATTCAAGTGGAAGGGAAGGGCAATGTGGCAGTCAAAAGTAGTTCTGGTAATGTGAAACTTCTCTATGACGTTTATTACATTCCAAGTCTGTCACAAAATCTGTTGAGTGTAGGGCAATTCATGGCTACTAGATATCTATCATGTTCAAGATGCCTCATGTGTGATCAAAGATAAAAAATCATATCAAACTATAGTTGACGTTCGCATGACACCAAACAAGTTATTCCCACTTGTTATTTCTGATGTTCAAAACCATGCACTTGCTGTCAAAGAAACAAGTGTGTCGAGATTATGGCATTTGAGGTATGGGCATTTAAAATGTCAAAGGTTTGAAATTATTGTGTCAAAAGAAAATGGTTGATGGATTGCCTAAAATTGAGTCTTTAGATATGTGAAGGGTGCATACATGGAAAACAATGTAAAAAGCCATTTCATGTGGGGAAGTCTAGAAGGGCAATGAAGTGCCTTGAACTTGTACATGCTGATGTGGTTGGTCCCATGAAAACTCAATCATTTGGTGGGAGTAGATATTTTTTTATTATTTACAGATATTGTAGCCGGATGAGTGGGGTTTACTTCTTACAGTTCAAGTCAGAAACATTTGAAAACTTCAAAAGATTCAAGGCACTTGTGGAGAAGCAAACTAGAAGATGCATCAAGGCTATGCGTACAGATAGAGGCGGTGAATTTGTATCACATGAGTTTAATAGTTTCTGTGAAGAACATGGTCTGAGAAGAGAGCTGACTGCTCCATACACTCCAGAGCAGAACGGTGTTGCTAAACGAAAGAATCGGACGGTTGTGGAAATGTTAAGAAGCATGTTGAAAGCTAAAGGACTTCTGAATCAATAATGGGTAGAAGTTGTTGCAACTGTAGTCTACTTTTTGAATTTGTCACCAACAAGGGTTGTTCTCAATCAAACTCCATATGAGGATTGGTACAAAAAAATACCTTGGGTAAGCCACTTAAAGGTTTTTGGTTGTGTTGCTTATACTTTATTTTACTCTATAAACGCAGCAAACTTGATGAAAAATCAACAAAATGCATTTTTGTTGGTTATTGTTATGAGTCCAAAGCTTACATGTTGTATAGTCCTATTGATGGCAAAATAATAATCAGTAGAAATGTGATTTTCAACGAGGATGCAAGTTGATCTTGGGAAGAAAATGCAGCTGATGTCAAGTTTGAAATTGCAAGTAAAGAAGCAACTCCACAGATTGAAGTGTTACAACCGTCTTCTCCAAATCTATCGTCTCCTCCAACTTCGTCAAGTGCATCTTCGAATGGTAGGATTTCCTCCGATGATGAGACTCCTCCAAAGAAATTCAAAACTTTGTCGGAGATTTATGCTTCTACGCAGGCCTTGTTTGTTGTTGATCCTACAACTTTCGAAGAAGCGGCAGACAAAGAGGAATGGAAAATTCCAATGAAAGAATAAATTGCAAAAATACAATGTAATAAGACATGGGAGCTTGTAGATATTCCTAAAGATAGAAGAGCTGTTGGTGTTAAATGGGTCTTTAGAATTAAGTTCGACGCAGATAGAAACATTCAAAAGCACAAATCACGTCTAGTGGCGAAAGGATATTCACAACAACCAAGTGTAGATTTTGATGATACTTGCTCTCCGGTTGCACGATTTGAAACCATCAGGATTGTTTTGGCGTTGGCTGCACATTTAAAAAAGATAGTGTATCAATTCGATGTTAAGTCGGCTTTTCTGAATGGTGATTTACAAGAGGAGGTCTATGTTGCTCAACCTGACGGATTCACGATCGAAGGCAAAGAAGAAAAAGTGTAGAAGTTACGAAAAGCTCTCTATGGGCTGAAACAAGCTCCGTGCACATGGTACAATAAAATCGATGCATACTTTCTCAGAAATGGTTTTGAAAGAAGAAAGTATGAGTCCAATCTTTATTTTAAACAGTAAGGTACCCATGATTTTCTATTATTTGCCTTTATGTTGATTACATGATTTACATGGGTTCCTCAAGCCTTATAAATGAATTCAAAGCTTGTATGAAAAAGGAATTTGAAATGAAGGATCTTGGAGCATTACAATCTTTTACTTGAGGTGAAGCAGGTTGAAGATGGATTCTTTGTGTCGCAAAAGAAATATGCTGCTGATTTACTTAAAAAATTAAAGATGACGGGGTGCAAAATTGTAGCAACACCTATGAATTTGAATGAAAAGTTGAAGAATGATGATGGTACTAAAGCAACAGATGCAAGGAGCTTTAGAAGTCTAGTTGGAGGCTTGGTTTACTTGACTAATACGCTGTCGGACATTTCTTTTGTTGTTGGAGTTATTTCAATGTTCATGCACTGTCCATCAAGGTATCATTTTGGCGCTGCAAAAAGAGTCTTACAGTATATTGCCGGAACTCTTGATTTTGGACTATGGTATGAAAATATTTCAAAGTTCAATTTGAGTGGTTATACAATTAATGACTGGGCTGGATGTTTGGAGGATAGAAGAAGCACATCAGGTTATGTCTTTGGCTTTTGATCAGGTGTTATTTGTTGGTGTTCTAAAAAACAAGCTATAACACCTCTGTCTTCATCAGAAGCTGAATATAAAGCTGCAACTTCACCAGCTTGTCAAGCTCATGGTTAAGAAGGATCCTAGCAGAGAAGGAAACAACTGTGATCTACTGTGACAATCAAGCAGCGATCTCCATGTCCAAGAATCCATCCTTTCATAGAAGAACAAAGCATATAGATATTAGGTACACTTCATTCGTGATCTTGTGTCTGATGGATCAATTATTCTGAAATATTGCAATACAAATGAGCAAATGGCAGATATACTAACGAAGTCTCTCCCTAAAGATAAACATGCTTACTTCAGACAACAACTTGACGTTTGCAACTTTGAATCAAGGAGGAGCGTTGAAGAATGATTCAAAGTCATCCTATTTTTAGTATTGACTGCTGTGGTTCCTTATTTTTCTGATTTTATTGTTATTTACGTGCAGTAGTGGTTCTTTTTTTCTATTAGTTTGTTGTGTTGTCAAGCCTATATAAGGCTTATTTGTTCCATTCTAAGCATTGAATAAAAAAACAGCAAGTTCTGTCATCTAAAGTCTATTATTTCTTCTTTATTTTTCTACATTTTGGAGAGAAAGGAAAGACATCCTCTGATCAGTACGAGCTTTTGCTTTTCTAGGAAGAATAGTGCTATCGTCGATCACTTCGCCCCCACAAGATGAGTTTGCGGATACTCCAAGCTGAGTGGAAATGGATTGTAGTTGACGGGCCATCTCTTGAAAAGTAGTCTGTGTGGTAGCATTCCATTGTTGTTGCTCCTCTGTAAACTTTTGGAGCGATGTCACAATTCTCGTGGTGTTTGCTGGTGTCTTAAAGAGCTTAGGTAGAGTCCGAATGGGTTACCATTGTGGTAAAGTCAACGAAAGCACCAAATGTTATGTGCGTGAATAAGAGACAGAAATGCAGAGATAGAGAGGAAGAAATAAGAAATTTAGATTGAGAAAATTGATAGAATATCCAGAAAAATTCATGACAGATGATTACAATTTTTCTTATTTATTTGCCTATCCTTTAGAAAGGGACAAAGCCGGTTAGAGCCTTGGAAGTCTTTCTCTCACTGCAGCTCTTATGCACCTCTTGGATCTTTGGTTATCGTTGCATAAGTCACAGCTCCCACATCATTCACTGGAGCAATTTTTGCTGGTTCGTCCATGATAACACCCCTTCCTACAGAATTAACATTGTCCTCAAGGTTTGCGCTAATGACATCCTTCGTGACTTCTTCTCGCAGCAACGACAGTGGTGTGATCTGCTGAGTGGGAAGACCTTTACAAGGTTTCAACTGTGAAATTTGAAAAACGGATGAATAAGAGTAGAGGTAGGTAAATCAAGCTTGTAGGCAACTCGACTGACCTTGCGGAGAACACGATATGTTCCAAAATATTTTGGTCATCGACCTGATTCTTCATACGGTGTTGTGCTTGCTGTAAATTACCCTTTAAGACTCGCGGTAGTTCATCACGTTCCAGCAACTGGCGATTAAATAGAGCATTAGAAAAACTGCCTTCCAAATAAGTCCATATAGTAGGAGGTCGCGGCCGTACAAAACTCGAAATGGAGTCATCCCCGTAGAGGTTTGGTAAGCGGTATTATAACAATAATCGACCCACAGTAAATATTGTTCCCATTTACTCAGATCATTTGCTGCCATACAACGCAAAGACATTTGGAGACAGCGATTTGAAGCTTCCGTTTGACCATCGGATTGAGGGTGATAAGCTGAACTAAAACATAATTCAGTGCCTTGTAGGTGAGCCAATTCTGTCTACATCTCACTCAAAAATAAGCGATCGTGATAACTGACAATACTACGTGGAATACCTTGAAGTTTGATGACCCATTCCACCAAAATGGCTGTCCCTTTTTCCCATATGTATGGGTAAGAGGAGGTAAGATAGTAGGCTATCCCCATTCCACCAAAATACGAGCCACAAATGCAGCATCAAAGAGACGAGGTAGACTGAAAAATGGCCATATTTAGTGAGGTGATCAACGACAATCAAGATAGCTTCCTTACCATTGGATTTGGGCATTTCGATTATGAAGTTGAGCAATATATCTTAAAAACTTGGTCAGGAATGGGAAGGGGTTGAAGAAGACCTGTCGGAGCAAAACTATGACTTTTCATTTGTTGGCATATTTAGCATTCATTGATAAACCGACGAACATCCTTCGACATACCTGGCCAATAAAAGTTTACCGCTAAACAGTGAAATATTCGTGTAATTCCAATATGACCCCCTATTAAGGAACAATGGTCACCCTATGGTGATCTTCCGTTCCATAAAACTCAAACAAATCTTGCGCCGCAGCTAGCCATTTCTTCGGATCCTTGCCAGTAAACAAGGGAAGCTCAACTTGAACTGGTTTAAGAGCAAAAGGAAAGATATCCTCTGAGTCAGTACGAGCTTTTTCTTTTCCATGAAGAACAGTGCCATCGTCGATCAATTCGCCCCTACAGATGAGGTTACGGATACTCCAAGCTGAGGGAAATGGATTGTAGTTGACGGGCCATCTATTGAAAGTAGCCTGTGTGGTAGCATTTCATTGTTGTTGCTCATCTGTAAATTTTTGGAGCTATGTCAACAATTGCTCGTGGCGGCTGGTGGTGTCTTGAAGAGCTTTTATAGAGTTCGAATAGGTTACCATGGTGGTAAAGTCAACGAAAGTTATGGGCGTGAATAAGAGACAACAATGCAGAGATAGAGAGGAAGAAGGAAGAAATTTAGATTAAGTAAATTGAGAGAATATCCAGCAAAATTCATAACAGATGATTACAACTTTTCTTATTTATATGCCTACCCTTTAGAATTGGACAAAGTCGGTTAGTGCCTTGGAACTTTTTCTCTCTCTTCAGCTCCTGCGCACCTCTTGGATCTCCTGGTTTACCGTTACAGAGGCGCTAGCTCTCACATCATTCACTGGAGCAGTGTTTGTTGGTTCGTCCATTACAGCACCTCCTCCCGCAGAAATAACATTGTCCTCAAGATTTGCGCTGATGACATCCTTCGTGACTTTTTCTCGTAGCAATGACAGTGGTGTGATCTGCTGAGTTGGAAGATCTTTTTAAGGTTACATCTGTGAAATTAGAAAAACGGGATGAATGAGATTGGAAGTAGGTAAATCAAGCTTGTAGGCCACCGGACTGACCTTGTGGAGAACACGATAGGGTCCAAAATATTTTGGTCCCAACTTGTGATGACGTTGTAGTCGAAGAGAGATTTGACGATACATTTGTAATCGAAAAAATGCCCAACTGACTTCCACCAATTCACGACGATGCTTATCGGCCTGATTCTTCATACAGTGTTGTGCTTGTTGTAAATTACCCTTTAAGACTCGTAGCAGTTCATCACGTTCCAGCAACTGGTGATCAACTGAGCATTTCAAGAACTTCCTTCCAAATAAGTCAATATAGTAGGAGGGTCGCGGCCGTACAAAGCTCGAAATGAAGTCATGCCAGTTGAGGTTTGGTAAGCGGTATTATACCAATATTGGGCCCACAGTAAAAATTGTTCCCATTTATTTGGACCATCTCCTGCCATAAAATGCGAATACATTTCGAGACAGCAATTCGAAGTTTTCCGTTTGACCATCGGATTGAGGGTGATAAGCTGAACTAAAACATAATTGGGTGCCTTGTAGACGAGCCAATGACAATACTACGTGGAATACCTTGAAGTTTGATGACCCCTTGGACCAAAATATGCGCCACAAATGCAGCATCAAAGTGACGAGGTAGACTGAAAAAATGGCCATATTAGTGAGGCGATCAACGACAACCAAGATAGCTTCCTTACCATTGGATTTGGGCAATCCGATAATGTAGTCGAGCGATATATCTCCAAAAACTTGACCAGGAATGGGAAGGGGTTGAAGAAGCCCTACTTGAGCCAAACTATCACTCTTCATTCGTAGGCATATTTGGCATTCATTGATAAACCGATGAACATCCTTGAGTATACCTGGCCAATAAAAGTTTGCCGCTAAACGGTGAAATGTTCGTGTAATTCCAGCATGACCCCCTATTACTGAACAATCTTCACCCTATGGTGATCTTCCATTCCATTAAACTCAAAGAAATCTTGCGCCACAGCTAGTCATTCCTCCGGATCCTTACCAATAAAAAGGTAAGCTCAAGTTGAATCAGTTTTGGCGCGAAAGGAAAGACATCCTCTGATTAGTACGAGCTTTTGCTTTTCCAAGAAGAACAGTGCTACGCCGGTCACTTCGCCCCCTCCAGATGAGGTTGTAGATACTCCAAGCTGAGTGGAAATGGATTGTAGTTGACGGGCCATCTCTTGAAGAGTAGTCTGTGTGTTAGCATTCCATTGTTGTTTCTCCTCTGTAAACTTTTGGAGCGATGTTAACAATTGCTCGTAGCTGTTGGTGGTGTCTTGAAGAGCTTTGATAGAGTCCGAATGGGTTACCATGATGGTAAAGTCAATGAAAGCACCAAATGTCATGTGCGTAAATAAGAGACAAAAATGATGAGATAAAGAGGACGAAGGAAGAAATTTAGATTGAGAAAATTGAGAGAATATCCAGGAAAATTTATAACAGATGATTACAATTTTCTTATTTATATGCTTATCCTTTAGAAAAGGACAAAGTCAGTTAGAGCCTTGGAACTTTTTCTCTCTGTAGCTCCTACGCACCTCTTGGATCTTCTGGTTTACCGTTGCAGAGGTGCCAACCCCCACATTATTCACTGGAGCAGTGTTTGTTGGTTCGTCCATGACAATATGTTGATAGTTTTACTCATCTATATGTATATAATTAATGTATTTTTATATACCTTATTTATGCTTTCCCACGCATGTCATATCACCATATACATAAATTCACGCATATATATGTATTATACTAAATATAGTCACGCGTGTATGTACTACTAAATATACATTATAGTTTTGACATATATGCATACATTTAATAGATGTTTTTTATATATCCTATTTCTTTACTCTATACGTATGCATTATCTTTAAATTTTGTATCTTTTTAGGTTCTTTAATTTAGTCTTAGGTTAGATCACTTGACTTAGACTAAATTTTTAGATTTAAT